ATATATATATATATATATATATATATAATTTTGTACATATATATTGTTCAATATATATATATATATATTTGACATTGAGGACATTTACTAATAAGTATACCCTACTATAATACTATATTTTAGTGGAAACGCCGTTCTCTTATATATGTCTGTGTGTGTGTGTGTGTGTGTGTGTGTGTGTGTGTGTGTGTGTGTGTGTATAAGCGTTCTGATGAACTTTTCCTGTACGAAAGAATTTTAGCATCTGATAGAAACTCGTCTCTTAAATGAACTTGCCGAATGTTTGTATTTTAAGGTCTGAGAAAAGAGGTGCTGTGTTTATGATAGCAGTTATGTGTGTGTGTATGTATTGTCATCCACAGACAGACTGTTTCACAGCTCATCAGTGTGGCTAGACATCTGATTGTTTCAAGCCGTGATCAAAACCCTACTGATTCGGCAAAATCGGAGATTTTACCCCTAAGCCCACGGTTGAGAGAAAGGCGAACTTTTACGACCTTATTCTGCCAATAAACACGCCAATGCCTGGCAGTGCTCAATTGTGGAAGAGCTTGTAATATTAGTAGTAGTCGTTGTTTACAAATTCGCAAAACACCTACAAAAATCATGTCTCAGTCATTTATTAAACACCGCAATGATAACGAAGCAGAAAAACTATTACAGTAGAATCTAGTATAGATCCATTTTATTAATTAAATGTTGATTAATGAAGATTTAATCAGATTAAGTCTCTTCTCTACAAACCAGCAAATAGCATCAAATTGAGTTTGGCATTCACCAGTAGATTCCTACATCTGCGAATCAGTAAGCTTAGAAATAATTAATATTTTAAATTAGTTCATATTAAGTGAAATGAGTTAAGCTTTTGTTCTAAATACTTTTAACCAGCTATCTATCTATATATCTATCTATCTATAGAATTCAGTTTATTACCATCTATGTTGCTGTGGATTTCACTCGACAGTTTTCTATCTATCTATCTATCTATTCATTGTACTAACAAGCTCACTGAAAAATTCTTCTTGAAATCTGTGCTTTTAACGTCTCTTATATAGAAGTAGATAGTTTTTCCTATCGTCCTGTTCACACTCCTCCCCGGTCTTTTGAACTGGAGAAGAGATTTATCCCTGGATTAGGACTGGGTTTCGAGTTCGTTTTAAAGTCTTTTTCATTCTCTTAAGCGGTAGCTCAACGCTCCTCAAAACCTCTAATCTTCCAATCAGAGGCATTGCTGCCGGGTGTAGTTTATCGTTATACCCAGGAATGTCGAATTCAAGATCTAACTGGATATAATCACGGATGCGAGATTGATTTTATGCTCACCCATTAGTTCTTGTCGATATCATTTCGCACTGAGTAACTTAAATTCGCCATACGTCAATAGCATTTGAGAATTACTTTTGTAAATAGCATGAAGTTATTGGATTCAAAATACAATGGCGAAATGTTCATCGAATTTGTCCGTCCTGTATCGCATTTTTACGAATCACTGATGAACGACTACAAATATAATTGTGTTAAATTTTATTAATGACGTAAGCGTCGTCATTAGAAATTACATTAGCTGAACGTAATGGTAATTTTTTTCTCCAACTTCTTTCAGCTGTTGGTGTTAATGGGTACACAACATACATATTTCTTAATTGTCTACATTGCAAGAGGACTTTTTTACGAAAATGGGGGGGCTCTCCCAATGGATTCTCACGGAGAGATTGGCAGAGGAGGAGAAGCGGAAGCTATTTTTTTTTTTTTTTTTTACTGTCGGGGTAGATGCTGAGGCTGTAGTGTCTGTTCCGTGCTGGAGGTCTCCTCTCAACCCCTTGCCCCCCCCCCACGCATTTTGGCGTAACATCTGTTACGTAGCGGTGGTATGACCGGCTATCGTTAGCTTAGACAAGCTTTGACCGGCATAGATCAGCGGCTCGAGTGGAAAGACTCGTATGCCCACGTTAAAAAAACGATCATGTGTCACAACTTGGCTCAGTGGTCGGGGGTCAAGAAAAATCTCGGCCTTTTACGAAAATGATACACCAGGCAATAGGATGTAGGATGCTTAATGACGATTCTATCTGTGAGAACATTAAAAGAGAAAAAACTTTTTTTTTTCTTTTTTAAGCATTTCACCCATAGCAAGGCGGGAAGCCACTAGCACGCAAGGGGTTACAGAAGATTTGGAGCAAGATCAGATAGGAGTGATAGAGGAAAGGATGAGGAGAAGGATAGTGGATGGATCAAGGCAACTGGAGATGTCGATTGACATTACATTTTAATAGTTGGAGATAATAGCTCTCAGGGAAACTGGAATAGGGAATGGAGTTCCACAGGCAAGAGTTGCGAGATATGAAGCTATTGGAGTAGAAGAGTCGGCTGCATTTAACAGTTTCAACAGTGAAAGGGTGAGAGCAGGGCGCTTCAAAATAAATTTAATTTCCTTGTTTATTTACTTATTTTTTACCCGACCTGGTAGTGCATGTGTGTAATATTGGATCAGCTTGCCGAATTCAAACTGCAGCCGACACCATTGCATTTAGTATTTCACTTTTGCCTTTGAGAAAAGAAGAAATTCTTATTCTCTCGCTCTCCAACATATAGGTTAAATATCAGGGAAGACTGAGTCTAGCTTTGGTCATTATGCTGTTTAGGAGAATAAAATAGGAAATTTAAAACTGATTGTGTGACTAAGACTTCTAATTTATAAGACCCTACTTGCGGTAAAAACGTAGGCTATATTAATTCGCCCAGTAAGTAGAGCCGAGAATACAGCGTATTATACAGAGAGTTAAATGCACATCCAAAGAATACTCATGCGGAGAAAATACTTAGAGATTGAAATATACACGGTCAATATTTACCTATTACTGAACAAAATAAATGTTTAGTGACTCAAATATAAACAGTTAATATTTACCAGTCCCTGTACCAAATAAATATTTATCGGTGAAAATATAGAGAACAATTATTTCTGAGCTAAGGGAAAGATTTTAGATTCAGATATAATAAAAAAGACAGATTATATCATTAAATAACACACGTGTTGATAATCATAAAATTAAAAAAATAAACACACAATATATATATATATATATATATATATATATATATATATATATATATATATATATATATAAATAACATTAATACCGGTTATTTTAAATATAAAATAAAAAAAATCTAATCCCAGTTTATTTTATATATCTTATGTAAATCTCAACTATTTTTAAATATATATATATATATATATATATATATATATATATATATATATATGTGTGTGTGTGTGTGTGTGTATGCAGAAATACCGTAATCACCGTATAATATATAGACTACGCCAGCATTGTGGTAACCAGATATTTTATTAAAATTTAAATTAAGAAACAACCAGCACCTGAGGATAGTGTTGTGCATGAAACTCCGTGGCGTGCTACTAGTGAGGAATAATATTTTATTTATTAATAAATACTTAATAGCTGTTATATTACATGGAGCACTATTTTATTAACACCGGCACTCAATGTGCGATATATATATATATATATATATATATATATGAAGAAACTAAGGTAATACAGTGTTTCTGCCACAGTTTACTATAGGTGTCTTTATTAATAAAAGGACCCCGTCTGTACAGAGCCTCCCTCCCACTTTCTTTATTTTCTTCATTTGTCGTTCTTTTCTCCTCAGTCTCTCTTTTTCTTTTAATTTGAATATATTTGTTTCTCTCTCATTCTCACTCTGGATGCTTAATCTTTCTCATTCTGTCACTTTCTTTCCTTCAGGCTATGTGACCTCTCTCTCTATATCGGTTTTTTGTTTCTTTAATTATTGGTTTGTTTTCAGTTAGTCTTTTCTCATATTTCCTGTCTTTTTTATCTAACTGTGTTTTTTTTTATTTAATATTCTGAAGATTTCGAGACAAATTAGCGTAAGACTTTGAACGTATGTCTGCTTGTATATATCCGTCTCATTAAAGCATAGCATCAGCATCAAGTTCAATACATACGGTTCTTACCTAATTCTGCATTCGGCATAATTATGTTCCACGTATTTGTTTCAGATTATATATTAATAATGGAATATCACATTGCTTTCGCGGTATTAATGCCCAGCAGTTTAGTTCTAACAAATAAACCCCT